CCACACCCACCAGCCTCCATAGCGCCCACGTGGCCCAGACGCGGGTGGCGCGCTCGCTTTGAGGTCACGCAGATAGCCCCGCCCCATCCCACAGCGCCCTCTGGCGGCCCGGCGGGATGACCCTTCCCGTGATTAATTTCCAGCACTTTTATTGATCCAAGGACGACACCGTTTCAGGGTTTTACACGCGACGTTTGTAACTTGATGGACACACGGTTGTAAAATAATCGCTGAACTTGGCTCGGAAAAGCTTAAAACAACAAAATCACACAAAAACCACCAGGATTTTCCTGATTGAAATCGGAATATTCATGATGATGCGAACGCTGCGGATCCCGCCCGCTTCTCCCTGTGAAACTGAGTTCAGGTTTCCATCAAGAACGATGACAAGGACAGCGCTGGGAACTGCTCTCTGTATTCCCAGCCCTTGTTCCACTAACAGAAGCAGAGTGACTCCACTCCAGCTGAACCAACCCTCAACTGTTACTTATAAAGGCAATTTCTCATCAAAAGCCAATTGCAAAACCATGATGGACTTATTTCTCCTGGTACCTCAGCAGGCAGCTGCTACACACCCTAAAGCACGCCCTGGCTCCCACTTGGAATGTGGAAAGCTCCTTGGTAAGGAGTGGGATGGGAACCACCACTTCAATGATGTGAGAAACACACCACGGGCTTCTCAAGTGAAGATTTCACCTCAAAAGCTGGGGGAACATCTTGGAATGAAAATAGGGTTTGGTCCAGACTAGAACATTCCTGAGCTTCAGCGAGGTAACTTTTCTGTTCCCAATAAACAGGCACACACCACGAGAGCTGAACTGCTCAGGTTCTCCATACACAGCTCTCTCCTCATGCTGATGCCTCCCCATGGAAATGTACCTGCGACACCCACAGCTACCTGAAAAAAATCTCTTCTCTAAGCTGTAAATCCAGGATGGATAAAGCCAATTTGTTAAAAATTTAGGTACTGTTGCAAGTAAAACAACAACAGAAATATGAGGTTTTCCTCCTAACTGATGGCCCCTGTTTTTGAAGCCACATGCTCAACCTGGTCCCTACCACAGAACCTGATTTTTTATCAAGGAGAACATGCTTGAAAGGAGAGAGTGACAGTAAGAGACATGAACTTAAATCAAACAAACAAACCAACAAGGCACATTACAGCACCCTCTTACTGAAGGGGCAATGCAACGCGTTACACGGGATTGGCACTTTGCTCAGAGGAACACCAAGGCACGAACGAGCAGCCCAGTCCTTTTCTCCAGCTAAGCAGAAGCCTTCTGCATTTTCTGTTCAGCAAACCACTCGTCACTGTTGTCTGCTGCCATGGCCTGCGCAAAGAAAAGCGTTAAGGAGTTCAGGACAGAAGGAGTCACCAGACACCCGGCTGCTTGCACTCACCAGCCTGTCCCCCCAAACCCAGACCGATCACAAGGACACTTTCTAATTTGGAGGAAAGTTATTCTGATGGATACATTATTTTTTATGTACTAGTTAAGGAAAACAGACACTGAAAAACAACGTTCTCTGCTGCAGCAAATAAAGAGATGAGCTGGTAATACAAGAGAAAAAAAGGATGGCTTAAACCCAGCCTTCCCACAGAGCTCACGCTCCTCATGCTCCACACCAGAGCCTTCGTGCTTCGGGAGGACGTCCAGCTGCACGGATGTCACTGCAGCTTGCACACTGTGTTCTGTAGTAACTCACACCAACATGCTGGAAAACTCCAGCCAGGACATTCAGTGAACTTTAAAAATCAATTTCTTGGCAAGAAAGTAACCTGAGCTAAGAGACTGTACAACTTTCTTCTCAAAAAAACTCCATGTGGAACGAACATTAGATTTTCTGAGTGTCTCTAATCAGGAAGAAACCCAATGTGCAGACAGTATCACTTACATCATCTAACAGTTTGGCACCATTAGGGTCCACCTTGGATAGATCTCTGAATGCTTCATCTCCCACAAAACAGATTTCATGGCCATCCTGCAGCAAGTTTCAGAGCAGGCAGGTTAGAGAAGTGGCAGAAGGAAATGTAAGTCTAATTTAATCACTATTTCCAATATTACTCACAGGATCAGCCAAAATAATCACTTGCACTGTGGCTTTGCCAGGTGTGTCCAAGCTAACCAGAGGTGTTAAAATTTTCTGATTCTCCTTTTTCATCAGAGCTTCAATGTTTGTCAACTTAAACAGAAAACAAACAAAAACCAACGCTAGTCAGATGAAGATCAGACGCATCCAGGTTGCTCTCATTTCCAGTTCCCCATTACCCACACCTCCATCACATTCCCACTCAGTATGATTTTGTTCACATCTAAGGTATTTTGCTAATACTAGAAATTAACCTCCCACTAGTCAGCTAATGTGACCAGCACCTCTTCCTTTGCACAGGAGAAGGCAATCCGCCCAAATGCTGTCCCGTGATCCACCGCTCCAACGGTCTTCAGCTCCAGCTTACACTGAAAATGGAAAAAAAGCCAGAATTATGAGAGCAAACCATAGCGTTTTTTTAAAAATAGAGTTAGATGCACACAAGCTTTAATTAAAATGCATAGAATGAAGTGCACAGTTGCTTTAATTAAGAGCTTATTTTCCCCTTTAAGATTGTTTTCACAAAATCAGAGGTTTGTCTGATGAGACACAACTCTTAAAGATCAGAACTGGAGAGTTTCCTAAGGACTAACCTGATTATCTGCATAGCCTAGCAAAGCCCTTTGTTTTTCCTCATCCTTCTCATATATTTTCATCCCGAGCAAATTAGACCAGTAGTTAACAGACTTCTGCAGATCAGAGACACCCAAGGTTACCTTTAGCACAGGATCTATAAAATGGTAATAATTTCAAATTAGTTACAAATTGTACTTTTAAACACAGTTTAAACACATTCTTGAGAAGTAACAAAGAAATAACAAAACATGTTTGGTTTCATAAAATGCCATTGAGATGAACGCGGAGCCCATTTTAATATCCCACCCGTAGATCTGTTTTGAACACAAAGCGAGCGTGTAAGTCTGACCTTGCTTGAGCTGTGCCTTGTCTTCCAAGTAGAACTTGTATCCTCCTGGGGCTTCAGTTTCAAAAATACCAGCTGTCACTTCTTTGAGGGGCCACCCCATCTTCTTAGCATTGCTCACAGCCTGGCTGGACACAAGGGTTATGCCCTAGTGAGAACAGAATAGAGATGGAGAAAATTCACAGGGTGGATGGTGCCAAGTCCTACCTTTCAATAGTCCACCTCTACAAATAACCAGAAACAAAGGAAAGTACTTTTTTGAATAGATGGACCACATGATTTCCTGAGAACCAGGTACTTTGCTCCTATAAAATAAGCTTAGTCTTACTGTGCATCCCACATATGTCTGGAAAGCATTAAACTATCTTTCTTTCACACCAAAGGGAAATGAAAAGCAAAAGGAATTTACAACTCTGATTCAACACATTGTACAGATGAGAAAAAAACCCAAGTTCCTAAGTAAAAAAGCTTATCATGAGAAGAAAGATTCTGCTGCTAGGTGTGGTACTCACCAGGAAGTCATTGCCCAGGCGATATTCTCCAATACCATAATTGTAAGTCAATTCTGCAACAAAGTGATTGTCTTCTGGCCCGTAACCCACCATCGTTTTGCTCCATTTTCCATCGTAAGGGCTGGAACAACATTTAATTGTCATGAGAATTAGAAATAAACATCAAGAACTGCAAGCATTAATGTTGCAAGAACTGCACGTCTAGAGTAAACAAATGGCACGGGTAATCCAGTAACCTCCCAGCAAGTAGGAGCTGATACCTGTGAAGAATTCTCACTGCAGCTCAGCAGACAGGCATCCTCCCAGTCAATACTCTGACAAAAGCAATTCTAACAGCTCACATTTTAAGAGTGTAAACTGCTCATGAGCTGGAATTATATGAGCACTTCCTTATTCCAAAAATAAGAAAAATAAGTGGTTAGGCACCAGATTGTGAGATTTCTTTCGTTCATAAAGAAACCTTGTCCCATATCTGAGTTCTTCACCTGGTGTGCAAAGCCAACTGACACGCAGAGTTATTTTTTATTATTATTATAATAAATAATAATATTTATTATAATAAATACGAATAAATTATTATTTATAATAATTTATTATTATTGATAATTTATAATACATAAATATAATAAGCCATCTGCGCAGGGATGGGTGTTGGTGGTAACTCCACAAAGCTCACACGCCTGAATGCAATCAGGGTACATAGTTCCAAGCAATTAGTAACGCCTGCTGTCAACACTGAGCACTAAATCTTTGGTTAGTTCTCTTTTTGCGTTGATTTAAAGCTACAGTATTTTGAAAATTCACTAAGCAGGCTCAGTGAGGGGTGGGCTTTTGTGAGTAGGGGGCTTTTTCTCCTCTGGAGGTGTGGTTTTACCATGCCAATGAGGTTAGTTCATCCAAAATTCACTTTATCAGTCTTTACTGATACTTTTTGGGGAATTTAATTAGTTAGTCAAAATGTACAAGATACATAAGTGGGTGTTTTCAGATCTTTTAGCTTCTTGCTTCCTAATTCAGGCTCTCCAGATGGTTCCTTATCTCAGTGCGTCATTATCCCAGGAAAAAAACAAAGCTCATACATGAGTTGACAGTTGGACTCGATGATCCTCCAGACCTTTCCCAACCTTAATGATTCTGTGATTTCGTCACCAGAAAGACAAAAGTTTTTGGGGCTACCAGGAGGGATTTTTAAGTCAAGACCCTCAATAGCCCCACGTCTGTAAAAAAAACCAATGTAATTGAATGGAAGTTCAGGAGAGTTTAGAAAGAATTTTATAAAATTCAGTATCTTGTAGGTGTAATACAGCGATACTTGTGTTTCAATGTAATATAGTGATACTCCTGTTTCAATGTAAATGTCACACCTACACAAAAAGAACTGCTGATTCCAAGGGAAGTACTTTAAAAAAACCAAAACAAAATAACCCCTAATTTCATAGAATCACAGACTGGTTTGGGTTGGAAGGAATCTTAAAGCTCATCCAGTCCCAACCCCCCTGCCATCAGCAGGGACACCTTCCACTAGACC